GCACCACTTCCCATTTTCTGGTGGTTAATTGGAGATGAGTTTCACGGACTTTCCTGCCTGGGCTGGCTTTGAACCAGGATCCTCAGATCTCAGCCTCCTGAGTAGCTAGGATTACAGGCGTGAGCCACAGGCGCCTAGCTGAGAGTATATTTTTATAGTTAGATACCAAGTTAGAGAATAAGAAGTAAACCCTGGAGGAAGAATTTCTTTGTTGTTATTTAACTCATCCCAAATCAGAAAACTTTGTGGCCCATTGTCGTTAAAAACAAGACATAATTTGCAAGTGTCTAAAATATAGCAAGCACCATGCAGCTACTATCTTAAGCATCTACTCCCTGCTAGATTCTATGTCAAGTACTACAAATACAAAACTGAGGTGATGGGAATGTAACTTAGTGGTAGAGTACTTGCCTAGCATGAATGAAGCCCTGGGTTCAATTCCTCAGTACCACATAAACAGGAAAATCCAGAAGTGGTGCTCAAGTGGTAGAGTGCTAGCCTTGAGCAAAAGAAGCTCAGAAACAGTGCCTAGTCCCTGAGTTCAAGCTCCAGGACTTACATAATAATAATGATGATAATGATAATAATAATAATAATAAACTGAGGCAAACAAGCCCCTTCCATACAGTAGAATAGGCCTTTAGTGGAGAAATGGGGAGGAGGACCACGTGTTTGAAAGTAAGTGCTGAGACAACAATATGGTAGTAGTCTATAGAGAGTAATGATAGTGTATGGGAACAAAGAAGACAAAGTTACATTTAACATAAGACAGACAGTATCAGATACTAGTCCTGCATTGTTGTGATTAATCAACATAGAAACTATGTGAAATATGTACCTTTTGTATCCTGCTTCAGATGAGGAAATTGAGGAATAGAAGATCTCCCTGAGCTTGTGCAATGTTAACTAATATGAGGGCAGCATGCAAGCTGAGCATCTAATTCTGTATCCGTGCTAGCAAGCTCTCTGATGTTCTGTCTAGTGATGACTGGAAAGTTGTCCTGGGGTAGGTGGTCTTGAAAACTTGATATGGAGAAGGTTGACTTTGTGTGCTTTCAGGTAGGGATCCAGGCCAAGTAGAGGAAAATACACTTTTCTCCAAGTGATTAAGGACTTTTGTGGCTGTATCCAGGTGACAAGAGCTTACATACAAACAAAGAAAACATTCTTCCTTCTGGCTCTGAGACTATTGGATATGAGTAGAGAGTGAAGGACCTTCTAAAACAAGACAGACAGGCTTTGGGCCAGACAGACTCTCCTGTCATTTGCTGATTTCCCAAAGCAAGTTTTAAACTGAGCTTCTCTTAAGAAAATGGGGTTGGGGACCGAGAGGAACAACAAAAAGCAGCCTATGCCAGGGTGATTTCTCCCTGTGTTCTCCCACTCCAGCACCAGTCCCATACCCCGAGAAAGACTTAAGCTACTACTAGTTGGCCCCCTACCCAGTGTGTGGGAAGTTCTCATGAGAAAAGGGATTCTTACTGGACAATGGGCTTCCTGTCTGACTGCTTGCAAATGACATGAGAAATCTCTCACTGCAGCCTGTTGTAGACTTTTGACTATTTGACTTGGGGGTCAGGAAGGCAGAAGTCCAAGAGAGCAATGCAAAAGCAGCCCTGGATGTCTCCTAAGTAATGGAACTTTTCTCTTTTTTCCTGAATCAACAGGATCCTTTTCTAGCTCCTCATGTCCTGTGCTCTGTTCAAAACTACATGTCTGCAGGACTTTAACTAGTGAACCTCAGAGAAGTAGTGAGGCTAGTACCCAGTCAGCTTTAGCATGGACATGAGCATGTGCACACATGAGTGCATGTGTACATGCGCGCATGCACACACAGCTTTATATTTGTCAAATGCTTAAAGTAGTGCCTGGCATATAGTAGTCAATGAGCATGAACTGTTATTACTGAGTTTTTAAGGCTTCCTTAGAAAAAACCTTTTAATGACAATCAGCCAGCCATTCCTCCCCGCCTCCCTCTCCCCCTGTATTTGTATTTGTCTGGAAGGAGCACTACCTTTCCTTTGAACACAGCATTTATATGTGTGCCTTGGGGAAAATTACCCAAGTCAGTTGCGCCAATGTCCTCGTTTATAAAATGAGAGGAGTACTTGCTTCTTGTAGAGCTAACTCAAGAGAATGCTTAGAACAATGACAGTAATTTCCAGTAACTGCTGTTTTCCTTGTTAGGTTCAAAACAACAAACTCAGGTGTAAGCCATTGTTCTTTGTATTCTCCCTGACTTTTTTTTTTTTTTTTTTTGCTGGTCATGGGGCCTGATCTCTGGGCCTGGGAGCTGTACCTCAGCTCTTCATCTCAAGGCTAGAGCTCTACCACTTGAGCCACAGCACCACTTCTGGCTTTTTCTGCTTATGTGGTGCTGAGGAATCAAACCCAGGGCCTCATGCATGCAAGGCAAGCGCTCTACCACTGAGCCACCTTCCCAGCCCCTCTCCCTGCCTTTTCTGTGCCTCTGCTCCTAATAGGCCATTGGGGCTAAAAGTAAAAATTGGATTTTCATATGCCAAGAAAGGATTTTGAAACCAAGCATATAAGGTCTTTTCCTAAACAGTCTTAAGGGGCCCTCAGTTTCAAATACTATCTTCTTTCCACCTCTTCCCCTTCCCCCATCTCTCTTACTTTCTCTTTCTCTGGAAGTACTAGGGTTTGAACTCAGTCTTCCTGCTTGCTAGGCATGTGCTCCCCCGCTGATCTGTGTTCTGGTTATTTTTGAGGTATCTCACTTTTTGCCCCAGTCTGCACTTGGAGCATAATCGGCCTGTTTTAGCTTCCTATCCTTGCTGGGGTGACACCTGTATACACCATCATGGCAAGTCTTGGGAGATTTTTTTTTTTGCCCTGACTGGCTTAGAACAGCAATTCTATCTCAGCCTCCCAAATAGCTGCTAGAATTATAGGCATGAGCCATCCGCCCTTGTTTTTCTTTTGCTGTCATTGTTTTGTTTTGTTTGTTTTGACAAGATCTCGCTACATAGCCCAGGTTGTCCTAGAACTCATGATGTATCCCTAGCTTCAGCTTCCTGACTGCTGGGATTATAGGAATGTGTCACCATACCAGTCCATGTTAGCTTGTTAATCCCAACTTCATGACAATTTTTATGACATCATTTTTATGGCTAAATAGTGTTCTGTTGTGTTTATGTACTGTATTTCCTTTATTTATCAGCTGATGGACACTTAGGTTACTTCCATTTCTTCACAAGTATATATACTGCTTCAATGAACATGGGATTCCAGCTGCCTGTTCAGCATATTGATTTAGTGTTCATGTAGATATATATCCAGTAGCAAGAGTGCTAAGTCTTATAGTAATCCTGTTTCCATTTTTTTAAGGAATCTCCATACTATTTTCCATACTATTTTCATTGGTGTTTCAATTTTTGATGGATTTATAATGACATAAGCCTTTATCAGCTTAAATACATTATTAAAATTAACTTTATCTTTTAATCTGCCTATAAGAAAACTTAAAATTACCTCTTCCACTTTCCTCTCATAATTTTTGCCTGTTTCTCTTCTTTATCCTAGGCCCTTCTCTGCCCAGAACAGCTTGACTCAATGAAAAAGCTTGCATTTGAGCCATTTGCATTGTATCTCTGATTTATGTTAAAAGTTGGCAGTGTATGTGTCCTCTACAGATTATAAACTCTTGGCATGGCTCTGTCCCATTTACATCCATCACCCTCCTAGAAAGCTATGTATAGAGATTGTTTACTGGAATTAGGACCCAGGAGCACATTTAGAAAACCACCTCCACTGTGCTCATGATTAGTGACAGCCATGGAGCTAGCTAGGGCTTGCCTCTTACTAAAGTGTTCCCAGGAAAGCCTTCCCCTAGCCATCCTTCCTTTCAATATCTTTTTTTTTTTTGGGGGGGGGGGGTTGTGGGGCTTGAACTCTGGGCCTGGCACTGTCAGTGGTAGAGTGCTTGCCTTGCATGCATGAGGCCCTGGGTTCAATTCCTCAGCACCACATAAACAGAAAAGGCCAGGAGTGGCGCTGTGGCTCAAGTGGTGGAGTGCTAACCTTGAGCTGAAGAGCTGAAGGACAGTACCCAGGCCCAGAGTTCAGGCCCCACAACTGACACAAAAAAAAAAAAGAAAAAAAAGGAAAAAATGATGCCTGTCAGAGGATGTAATGTTCCTGGAGCTTGGGAAACCCCCAGAAAAAAATATCAGAAATCCCCACTGAGATGAAATGTACATTTTTATTATACCATGGAGTCTTTCCTGGCCTTGATGTCAGAAACAAGCTAATACTTGTCCCTCATGCTTATTAACAGTATTTTGTCTCCTCTCACTTTGACTCATTATGTTAGTAGGTTTTATTAAAACCAGAACTCTGGGACTGGGAATGTGACTTAGTGGTAGTGTGGCTTGCCTAGTATACATGAAGCTCTGGGTTCCGTTCCTCAGCACCACCTAAACAGAAAAGGCCAGAAGTGGTGCTGTGACTCAAGTGGTAGAGTGCTAGCTTTGAGCAAAAAGCTCAGGGATAGGGGCTGGGAAGGTGGCTCAGTGGTAGAGTGCTTGCCTTGCATGCCTGAGGCCCTGGGTTCGATTCCTCAGTACCACATAAGAAAAAAGAAAAAAGCCGGAAGTGGCGGTATGGCCCAGGCCCAGAGTTCAGGCCCCACAACCGGACCCAAAACAAACAAACAAAAAGCTCAGGGATAGTGCCCAGGCCCTGAATTCAAGCCAAAACAAAACCAAACAAAACCAGGACTCCATTGCAATAGGCTCAGGACTTTAGATACAGTTTTCTTCAGGCATGATAGGAAAGTATTGTAAGTGGCAAGACGTGTTGCCAGCAGACTTCCCTCTCTGCCTTTGACAACCAGAATTCCAGAGTTTGGTCAACAGCCTTCTCTAAGAGATGGCCCATTGTTCCTCACGTGCTTCTTGTTGAGGTCTTCAGAGCTGTATCACTGAGAAGACTCCAGTTGAAAGCCTCACTATAGTACTACCGTTCTGTGTTTGCAGTGTGTCCCTTGCCTCCAGAGCCAGAGAATGGTGGCTACATCTGTCATCCTCAACCCTGCAGAGACCCCCTGACAGCGGGCAGTGTCATTGAGTACCTGTGTGCAGAAGGCTACATGTTAAAAGGCGACTACAAATACTTGACCTGTAAGGATGGCGAGTGGAAGCCAGCCATGGAGATTAGCTGCCACCTCAATGAGGGTGAGTCGTTAAGTAAGAAAGGGGTTGGGGATCTGTCTGGGTTCTGGGTTCTGCTTTCTTTCAATTTCTGTGGAGTAGTGCGTGCTACATACAGAGTGCCCTTGGCTGTACTGCAGCCCTGTAGCCTCAATCCTTTGGGATTTCATGTTTTTGTGAAAGACATTGGGGTTGCTGGTGCATGTCACCTGCATTCCACTGATCCTCTGAAGGGCTCTGTGTCTTTACTGAGGCATCTGCCCTGCTATATAAAGTTCCTTGGATGTTGTTGTTTTCCTAGACAAGTACTGGTGACCTTGGCAACATTTTACTAGCATAGCGAGCACAATGCTAACACCTTCTCTGGGGTCTCTCATTTCATTTTTCCTTGAATGGAAAGGGACTGTTTTGTTATGGAGCAACAGTCCAGCTGGACAGAAGCCCCTCTCCCATCTTGTCTTACATGACAGTAAAAGCTAGATGCTTGATGGGAAGTGTATATTATATAGTCATCTTTAGGTTCCATATTTGGGCTTCTGTACCTGAGCATATTTAACTCAGGACACATAAAAAGAAGGCAGAAACTAATTTGAGATTTACAACAAAGGCTGAGGGATAAAGATGGACTTACTACATAGTTATCCTGTCACATGGGGGAAAGCGTGATGGAACATGAGATAGTACAATGACACGTTCACCAGGGTGCTATTGAGAGTGTGATCAGAGTGGTTTATTAAAGGTAAGATCCCCTGGGTTAAATGAGTTTAGTTATAATATGGACCTCAATAACTGAAAATGACGGGGATTTCTTATTCAGGAAGCAGGAGAGGAAACTTTCCAGGAGTAGCATGTGTACATAGGTAGCTTCATGCTGTCTTCCCGAAAAGACTAGGCTGTGAATTATCTCCATAGCACTGTGCATGGGGTATTTGACTGCATCAGCTCTGGGGCCCATTTTTGTGTATCTGGATAAAATCTACATCTGGCAATGACTTGTTTTCCGTAGACAAAGAAACCCACACATCACTCGGAGTCCCTGCACTGTCCATAGTGGCTTCCACTGCCAGCTCTGTGGCACTCATTCTCCTCCTCGTGGTGCTGTTTGTGCTGCTGCAGCCAAAGCTGAAGTCTTTCCATCATAGCAGGTAAACCCAGTGCTGCTTTGGGGTAGGCAGCTCAAGCATCCCTGTGGGTCCAGTCTTGGATTAACTGCAGAAGGCTGGTGGTGTACCTCCCTCTACTGGTCTGTGTGTCCTGGGTAGCAGAAGGAGAAGGCCCTGCCATGTGTTAAACTCCTGGCACTTTGCTTGTTGATTCATATTACCTAAATCCTCACAGGAGCATTATAGACAAAACACTGAGGCTAAGGGAAGTTGAGTCATGCATTCAGGGTCATACCTTAGGACAATAGAGCTAGCTGAGTTGTGAACCTAAATCTTCCCAACTCCAAAGCAGTGTCATTTCCTCTTTATCAGTGGTATTCATGGTATTGTTCCAGAAGCATTGACATTACCAGGAACTTGTTAGGAATGGGTGCTTTTAGGCCCAGACCTGCAGGGATAGGGTTTACAGCCCTCCAAGTAATGCTGACACATGCCCATATTTTTGAGCTACTACCCTATATTCCTGGTTCTAATACTTGGTGTATCTGGGCCTCTCTGATGAACATTCTGATTTATTTGGGTTAGATAGGACTCTAGCTTTAGCCTTTCATAGAAAGCTTCTCAGGTAGTTTTAATGAAGGAAGTAAGGGGTTTTTGCCCATTTATCAGTCTCCTTTTCCCCAGTAGTGCACTATCTATGAATTATCCCAGTCTAGGGTGGGTAAGGTGGCAGGTTTAGGGGAGGGGAAATAGAGGTGAGGCCCTGATGGGAGTGGCCATGGCCCTGAATGCATCGCTAGTAGTGGACTTCCCTCCCACATTGTCTTGGCTTCTGCAGCTGTTAGTCTCTCTGTCCCTCTCTCTCTGAGGAGTACATCTTTTTTTTTTTTTGGGTCCGGTCATGGGGCCTGAACTCTGGGCCTGGGCACTGTCCCTCTGCTCTTCAGCTCAAGGCTAGTGTTCTACCACTTGAGCCACAGCGCCACTTCCGGCTTTTTTCTTTTTGCTTATGTGGTGCTGGGAATCGAACCCAGGGTCTCAGGCATGCAAGGCAAGCGCTCTACCACTGAGCCACCTTCCCAGCCCCTGAGGAGTACATCTTTTATATTTAGTCATAGTTCTACATCAGTCACTGTTGTGGTCCACAGGTGAAGAGGTTCCAAAGTAAACTACATTCAGTAAAATTCTCCCCGTTTAGAACTTTAAGACAAGGACCAGTCTAAATTTAGGTTTTTTGTACAGTTTGTGATTTTTTTTCTTCCTTTTATTTTGTTTGGAGGGATAATGTAGCTGTTATTTTTAAAGCTTGTTAATAAAAGAAAAACAATTCAAAAGGGGGTGTTTACTTGAAAAAAATCAGCTATTTCCACATGAAGTCAGACCTATATAATCTGCATTTCATGTATGCTAAGGAGTTTTATTTCCTCTATAGTTAGCCAGTATGTCTGTTAAAAGTAACCAGTTGAGGGGCTGGGAAGGTGGCTCAGTGGTAGAGTGCATGCCTTGTATGCCAGAGGCCCTGGGTTCGATTCCTCAGCACCACATAAGTAAAAAGAAAAAAGCCGGAAGTGGCGCTGTGGCTCAAGTGGTAGAGCGCTAGCCTTGAGCTGAAGAACTGAGGGACAGCGCCCAGGCCCAGAGTTCAGGCCCCATGACCGGCCCCCCCCCCCAAAAAAAAAAAGTAACCAGTTGATTTTTTGCCTGAGTAGAAGAGAGGTTTGGTTTTTATTATAGACCCCCCCCCGCATTTAAATTTTTATTTCATACCATGTACATGTGTTCCTTTTTATGTGGTAACAACTTATTTTGAATAACATAAGGTAGACACGTGCCAGGTATACCACTGCTTCTTGTGCTCCACTGTTATCAGTTTCCCTCCTTTCAAAACCTGAGCATTGGGAATGAGAATGTGGCTTAGTGGTAGATTGATTGCCTAGCATGCATGAAGCCCTGGGTTCCATTCCATGTGAACAGAAAAGGCCAGAAGTGGCACTGTGGCTCAAGTGATAAAAGTACTAGCCTTGAGCAAAAGAAGCTCAAATGCAGTGCCCAGATTCTGAGTTCAAGCCTCAGGACTAGTAAAAAAAAAAAAAGTAAGGGGCTGGGAAGGTGGCTCAGTGGTAGAGTGCTTGCCTTGCATGCATGAGGCCCTGGTTTGATTCCTCAGCACTACATAAACAGAAAAAAAAAAAGCCAGAAGTGGCTCTGTGGCTTAAGTGGTAAAATGCTAGCCTTGAGCTGAAGAGCTGAGGGATGGCACTCAGGCCCAGAGTTCAGGCCCCAGAACCAAAAAGGAAAAAAAAGAAAAAACCCAAAACCAGAAAAGTGATACCTATCTGGGCATTATGGCACATGTTTTTAATCCCATCATTCAGTAGGGTAAGCTGGAGGATTGTAGTTCAAGGCCAACCTGGACTATATCTCAAGCCCTTGTCTCAAGGCAAAAGAATGTTCCCCAGACAAGATTTTTCACATGAAATTGAATTACAGAAGCCAGAAACATGCTTATCTACACACAGATTTACTGTGTATCTCATTCATATATAGATCAGAAAGATCAGCACTACTAAACTACAAGTGTTGGTAGACTCATGTTTAGGTAATAAAACTTTAAAAAGCAAAACAATGTCTGGGCATTGTCTGCAATCTCAGCTCGTTGGGAGGCAGTAATCAGGGAGATTGGGGTTAGAGGCCAGTCCTGACAAAAAGCAGCACTTAGCTCCAAAAAAAAAAAAAATTGAATGTAGTAGTACATTTCCTATTATCCCAGCTATGAGGAATTGTAAGCATGAGAATCAGTCTAAAGCCAGCCAGGGCACAAAGCACAAGACCCTATCTGAAAAATATGAAAAATAACTAAAACTGAAAGAACTAAGGGCATAGTTCTAGTAGTAGAGTCCCTGCCTTGCAAGTATAAGGCCCCAAGTTCATACTTCTATAGTACCAAAAGGGGGGGACCCCAAAGGAGTGATTTCCATGCATGGTAAAAAAGGAGGAGTGACTGAGACAGGCACTGGCAGCAGATGGGCAGTGGGCAGTGCCTCACCTTGATAGAGTTGTCTATCAGCGTTACCTTTGAAAAAAACCAGTAAGCTGTCTGTAGACTTTTCTATGCATTCTTCCCTGTATTTGTGTTATAATTAATATTTTTAAGTTTATTTAAAGGGCAAAAGAAGCTTAGAAGTATGAAATTCTTCTGATTTCCAGCCCAGTATCTCTTTTGCCCTGTCCCTCTCCCTTCACCCCTCCTCTCATTCTATCTATGTCAGTTTTCTCATCCAACTCTTTAAAAGTTTTATAGAGGGCAGTATAATTCACATACCATAGAATGCACCATTTGAAGTATACATTAAATGGTTTTAGGATCTACATGGTTTGTAGATCCAATCAGCTATGCTGATTGAATGGCTCTGTTTGAAGGTTGCTAGGTTCTTAGCATTTGCACAGAACACACGTCCAGATGCCTGTAGTACTCATAGGTTAGGAACACCAGTGTCTGGAAGTAGGTAGACATGGATTAAGATTCCAAGCCCATGTCTTACCAGTTGTGTAGCTGTGGCCAACTTACTTAACTTCTCTGAATTTTTTGGTGGGCTCAGATGAGGATCTAGTATGATAAATGTTTAAAACACTTAGTTGCTGGATGCTGGTGACTCACGCCTGTAATCCTAGCTACTCAGTAGGCTGACATCTGAGGATTGCAGTTCAAAGCCAGCCCGGGCAGGAAAGTCCATGAGACTCTTATCTCCAGTAAACCACCAGAAAACTGCAAGTGGCACTGTGGCTCCTAAAGTGCTTGCCTTGAGCTGAAGAGCTGAGGGACAGCTCCCAGGCCCAGAGTTCAAGCCCCACAACTGACAAAAACAAAACAAAACAAAAAACAGTGCTATAACTACAAATATAGTAAGTGTTCAAAAATTGGCAGCTTTTGATGGTATTGATGGTGTTTACTTATCTGTGTGTTTATTCTGATTCTTTTTTTGTCTTTTCTTCCTCTGATCCAGGCGTGACCAGGGGGTATCTGGGGACCAGGTCTCCATCATGGTAGATGGCGTTCAAGTTGCATTACCTTCATATGAAGAGGCTGTGTATGGCAGTTCTGGTCACTGTATGCCACCTGCTGACCCCAGAGTGCAGATCGTGCTGTCAGAAGGATCTGGGCCCAGTGGGAGGAACCTGCCGAGAGACCAGCAGCTACAAGTCCAAGGGGCCTGCTCCTCTGCCAGTATGGAGGATGAGACTCCTGGCCAGTCAGGACTGTGTGAAGCCTGGGGCTCCCGGGGCTCAGAAGCTGTGATGGTGCATCAGGCAACCACCTCTTCCTGGGTGGCCGGATCAGGGAGCAGCCGACTCGCACACAAAGACACTGCAGACTCTGAGAACAGTGACATACAAAGCCTTTTATCCCTCACATCGGAGGAGTACACAGACGGTAGGTGGTCTGTGCTGAACTTGAATTGTTAGCTGTTTTTCTGGGAGTAAGAAAAGACTATAAAGCTCTCTAGTAATTGGCATATATTTAACAAAAATATAACAGTGTCCATACTATTAGCATACAAAACAGGATTTCATCCTTAGGGTCAAGTAGGGACACTTTATTGTCATCTATAAATTTTGAGTTTGTACTCTCTGAGATTATTTATGACCATAGGACTTTGCTAAACCGAAAGATAGACAGCTGGGTAGGGATAGGGTTGCACCTATTCTATTGCTATAATTTTTATGTTCCTGAAAAGTCAGGAATGACAGGAGACCAGGGGTTGTGTTATGGAGAGAACAGGAGCCTGTATGTCTCCCAGAGTAGATAGCTGCTTTCTTCTAAACAAGAGTAAACCAGGTACTCTGATATTCTCAGTTAACCTCACAATGATTCTGAGTGTAGATAATAAATACCAGTGTCCCCTTTACAGATGGGTGAACTAAGGCCTAAGGAGGACAAATCTCTTGCCTTCTGGTGAATGACAGAGCTAGGAAATGAAACCACCTGGTTCTGACTCTAAAACCTGCATTTTAACCCTGCACTACCATGGTATCTCTAGGTAACACTAACTCCTTTGTAACAGCAAGCCAGCCCTATGGCTGAATTTATTGCCTCCTGACAGTGGTGGCTCAGGCCTGTAATCCTAGCTATTCTGGAGGATGAGATCTGAGGGTCATGGTTTGAAGCCAGCTGGGGCTAGAAAGTCCATGAGACTCTAATCTCCAGTTAATTACTTAAAAAACAAAAACCGAAACAGAAGTGGAGCTGTGGGTCAAATAGTATGGTGGTAGCCTTGAGCAAAAATGCTCAGGGACAGCACCAGGACTTGAGTTCAAGCCCCAGTAGTGCCAAGAAAAAAAAGAAATTAAGTGAAATCCCAGTGTAGTTGAGGATGCAGACTAAGCCTAGAAGCTCCCTCTGACAGTGGCTTTTTCTGTGCTCATGAGACCTTTTAAGAAAAGAGCCCTAGAAGAAACTGTGCCTCCTGAGTGTGCTGGGTGGAGTACATGTCTATAAGCTGGAAATTTTTGAATGTAGGTCATGTTTATGGTTTTCAGTCAACAGCTTGCTTTTTTTTCTTTCTTTTTTTTTGTGGGGGAGGGGATGTCAGAGAACATGGAAGGGGTCCACTAAATAGTTGATCCAGATTTGAATGGGGGAAGCCACTGACTGCCCTGGAGAGGTCAGCCACACATATGAGCAGATATGTCTAAGGACATCATATAGCAACCCTTGTCTCTCAAAGGTGCCATTGAGGTGCCCTGCTCCTCCTCCGCTAACTCACTACCTTGGTTTGTTTTTGCTTTTGAGAGAAGGCCTCATTTTGTAGTCTAGGCTGGGTTCATGATCTTCCTGCCTTGATCTTCTACTTGCTAAGGATGCTTGAACAAGCATTTTTGAGAGCCCATCTTGTACTTGGTGCTGAATAAGGAACAGAAAACACTCTGCTGCACGGAAAATGAGTTAATTGGGGCATATATGTAGGAATAGTGGGTATGGTGTCACACACCTGCAATCCCAGCCTTTGGAAGACTCAGGCAAGATCACTGAATTTTAAGCCAATCTGTTACACAGTGAGGTTCTGTCTCAATAATCATCATCATCATCATCATCATCATCATGGAGGGATCATAATGAGGCATTCAGAAAACAAGACACATAGGTTAGTAGGTTAGTGAGTTCATAACAGGCTATCCCTGAGCTGTCAGGGAAGCTGGATGCTTGAATCACAGGCAAATACTACCAATTAACTTAAGACTCAAACTGAGAGGAAATGTGATTTGTCCAAGATCCCAAAGCTGACAACTAGCTCTAAGGAGGAGGAAGAACTTAAGTATAGTGGAGATGGAGAGGCTGGGAGAAAAATGGAAATGACCGGATCAGCAAAGAGGAATATTTATGTTGATGGAACCAAAAGGAGTTTGGATACCAGGCTGACTGTTGAGGCTTTATAACAAAGACAGTAGGAAAGATGAGCCAGAAAGGGCTGGAAAAGAGACGGAACTGACTAGCTAGAAGTGTATGATTAGGACTTTTTTTGGTGTGTGTGAAAATACCGTACAAAGGGGTTACAATTACATGGACAAGGTAATGAGTACATTTCTTATCAAACATTGTTGTCTCCTCCTCTGTTTCCCCTTCCCAACCCTTCCCATCTCCCTGCCGCCAACCTCCCCCCCATTAGGACATTTTATTTGTTCACACAAACTATGGGCCCCTTGTAGTATGGGAAGAAAGCCGTTTGAGTAACCACTGTGATTTTCCTTTGTCTTCCTACAGATATTCCACTATTGAAGGAAGCATGAGGCTACTGCTGGCCTCTCTCCTGTTTGTGAGGATCCTCTCTGCCCTTCTTCCTTCTCCCTGTGGGTTGGAGCACCTTCTCCACTCCAGTCACCCCACCAGGATACCTAAGCTGCCATCTGTATCTGTCTGAGGGCCTGCAGGCCACCTTGCTGGAAACTCAAGGAAGATCCTTGCTATCTGCCTGCTAGACAGCTAGAGAAGCTGGCTGTTTGCCTGGCCCAGCCTTCCCATCTGTTGGGGACATATTTGAATGTGCTGGATCGAACCTTCCCTTCCCCTGAGCCTCTGGGTCCCTTCCAGCTAGCTCTCTCTGGCGGCAGCCCCCATAGCTGTGTGGGCCTGAGTGCTGCTGTGTTTACTTGTGCCTTTCCCCACCCTGTTCAGTTTCCCTATCATGCAGGTGTGTTGCTGTCTACAGGCCTTAGTGGCTCCTGGCCACCTGCATACAGGTTGGACCTGGGGCTGGCATTGCTGCCCCTTGCAGAAGCAGATCCAAGAATGAGAGGTCTTAAATGGCTCTCATTAGGTTCAGGAGTATGACTCCCTGGGCTTTCCCTGTACTGACTCCAGTCAGCATATTTCTTTGACTAAGGATAGTGGATTTGAAAAATTATGCCAAAGCTATCCCAGCACCCAGATGTCCAGCTCAGGTGCGGGCTCCTGGCTTGATTTGTGTTGAGAATTTCCAGGAAGCATCCAGAAGATCTCAAGGGAGAGAAAGATGTCTGATATCTGTCTTCCTAATATGCAAGTCCTCACTTCCTGCTTCTAGTGTTGACTGCCTTGGCTTGTTTGTTTTTTTTTTTTGTTCCCTGGTTGAAGGGAAGTTGCTTGAGGCCCCCTGGGCTTCATCCTAGACAGCTCTGGTTTCTTTGCTGCCTACAGTGCCCTGAGATTTGCTAAAATGCCATCAAATGCTCATCTGGGCTTTGGCAGTCCAGGCAGGCTGTTTCTGGGTTTGTGGTGATGGAGGGGAGGCTGAGAGGCACAGACTAAGTCCCCTGGTGGCTGCAGGCAGCCCCAGCCCGGTCCTGAGGATCCTCCTCACCACGGTCATGTGCCTTAGTAACTGTGCCCAGGAAGTAGCCCACTGCATCGCTGCTTTTTCTGCTTCTGCCCTTCCCTATGCCTCTCTGCATGTTGTTGCTGACAGGCCACTCCTTGTCTTCCCTGAACCCTGAGGGATGGGCTGAGAAACAGTCTCCCAGCCCCCTAGCCTTTCTAGTTGAGATAGGCTGATGGTGCCTAGCATCCGGTTCCCAAAGCCCCCTTAGGATGAAGCTTGGAGTATAGGCCCTGAGAGGGGGAGCTGTGGTGATAAGGGAATGCTCCAGTCACTGTGATGGGCCTCTTAGGCTTCACATTGAATGCTAAACTGGTTAGACAGCTGAGCTTCGCCAGGCTGCTCCCATCTCCAGAAGATATATGTGGCATTAAGGAATGTTTGCTTTTGCTTTTTTTGTCCCTGAGCTCGGCGGGGCTGGGAAACTTAGAAGCTGACCCTGTTCTGTACCTCTGCTCCTCCTGAAAGCCTCTCTGGGACAATAAAAATAAAAGGCCCACTGTATTTTCAGTACCTGACTTAACAGAGTTAGCTCCAGGTATAAGTGGCCTCAAAGATAGGAGAATGGTTTCCTCCCAGCCCACCACCCTCTACCCTCACAACGCACTTTACTCTCTGGTCATCCTGGCCTCCTGCTTCCCTTGTCTTCTTTCCTCTCAGGGTAAGGGCTGTGCCTGCTGTGCCTGCTGGCCACTCCCACATGTCCCCATCCAGGAATCCTGTCTCCTGTGCCCAAAGTCCAAGCATGGTTGGCTAGGAAAAGGGCTAGAAAAGGTGCCGAACTCAAGCCTGGAGAGATGTGAGACTCAACTTCTTAGTGGGAGCTGGCATAGGCCCCTCTGGGAGAGTTCCAAGGACCCAGCTGTCTTACCACACATGGCTCTCTTTCACCTTCATAGCACCCTTCCTCTTTCTCCTAGAAGGGAGCAGGGAGAAGTGGGGAGCTGAGCCTTCCATGTACATTCTCCTATCTTCCAAAACCTGGTTTCTATCCTAGAACAGTTTTTAAATGGAAAATCCTACTACCCTTTTCGATCTCTAACCTGGGTGTTTCCCCCTAAGAGACTGCACTTTGTTTCAGGTTTATTCAGCCACATAGGCTTGGCCTTTGATTACATGAACCTCCTTCCTTTCCCTGGTGCCTCCTTCCATCTCACCATCTATTAAACTGCTCTGGGGATTACAAACCCTGGTTTGTATATCTGCTAGGGAGTAAGAAGTTGGTATAAATGAACTCCACTACCTTCTCTTTTCCTGGTTTTGAGGAGGCTCACTGGCTAGTGTGGGCACCACAGCTCACAAGATTGCAGTTGTTTCCTCCCTCCCCACCCCACTCCCACCATTGCCCCAAACAGTTGTTGTTGTTGTCGTCGTTGTTTGTTTTGGGTTTTTTTTTTGTTTGTTTAATCACCATCCGTGTGCTGCTGCTTCTGGGGCTTTGGGGCTTCATGCCTGGCAGAGTGCTGGGGACTCCATAAATGCCTTGGGATGGGACTTGGCTAGAGAGGCAGGACAAGTAGCAAGTTGCAGTCTGTTGGGAAGGAACCTGGAGCAAGAGCAAAGAAACTAGCCACAGCCCAGCTTTTCTGGGCTCACCTCTAGGAGAATCCCACACAAGACTTGTCCAAGAGATGGTCAGCACCAAAGGACTTTTCTAAAGGTTGTTTTGAGTGGGTTTTGTTTTGGTTTTTTGTTTTGGCACAGGTTTTGTTTTTGCAGGTTTTATATCTTGGTGACTTAAAGTCACACTCTTAATCAACTTTCAAGGGCCAGAATATGGTGAAAATCGCTTAAAATTTCCGTCCCTCCCATGCCTTAGTTTATTAGCAAGTAGTCATTTGTATGTGGTGTTCCTGTTTCACTGGATATAAACTGTGAAATGGGCTGAATCCTGGCCACTTTGTTTTGTTTTATAAGGCATTTCAGTGTACACTCTACAAGCACTCCATTTGAATGAAAAAAAATACACCTTAATACTATCTTCCTCATTCACCTTGCCCTCCTACGCCCACCCTCAGCTTTAAGTTTCTGTGGAGAAGCCAGATGGCAAGACAAAGGTATACTTTTCCTGCTTTATGAATAGGGACTAGGGATAGATGGCGCTCGGCCTTTTTCCTCTTAATCCCATTGGAGCTCAAACACTGGCTTCCTGCCTAACAATGTCACCTCCATTTCTGGGAACATCCTTGCATAGAGAATGGAATTTAGGGCAGACATTTTGAGAGATTCCCTCCCCCCATTTCCTCTTCTTAAAGAGCAAAGAGGGGCAACAAGGAAGTGGCATACAGTTGTTGAGGCTTATTTCCAGATATGTTTGCCAAGGGCAGCAAAGCCAGGGTTTCTCTCCTGGGGCCTGCCAAGTCTCCTGCAGAGCTTGGAGAATATTTTTCTTGTCAGATATTTGGGTTGAGTGCTATGATTTCTGGCTCCTTGGAAGGAGAAAGGTGGTAAGCTCGGCTTTACTAGCTTTACTTAATTTCCAGTTCAAAGCAGTAGAATTTTGAACAAAGCCCCTAATGGTGAGCCCCCTACCAAGCTGCAGAGCTAGCCAGAAAGGATGCTAGGGCCAAGCTCTTGGGTTGCTGAGTAGGAAAGGGAGATTGTCATGGTTTGTGTGGTAGAACCCATATCTGCCCTGGCTTCCTTTGGTTGTTGCACCACTATGGGATTCTTTGCAGAATGGTACTCGTATCATGGATTAAAACAACACATGCAGAAATGACAGCGCAGGATGTCACTCAATCAGTTTGGGTTTGCTTTATTTTATTTTATATATATATATTTTTTGGTATCCTGTACATTGCAGTGGGTGTGAAGATAGTATTTTAATATTTGTACAAAGTTTAATTTAATTTTAATTGTTCTATGTATATAACTGCATTTCTAAATAATAATAATAAAAAAATTCTTATGAAACCAGCTGTGGAAGATGTGATCCTTCCAGAAAGTTTTGGTAGAAACCCTATGTTGAAAAGTGCATGTAGACAAAAGCTCGTGAAATGATGAAACAGTAACTGTGGGGAGCCTGCCTGACGAGACGGAGGAATCAGCCCAGGAGGTGTTCAGGGCACAGAGCTGGTGACCACCATCATCAGTAGAAATCTGCCTCTTGTTCTGGTGATCTTAAAGTGCCAGCCACTCTACTCAGACTCTATAGTAACCTGGACATTGTAGTTTGGGCCTACGTGAAATTGGCTAGGAGGTCAGTTACAAGTGTGTGTTGATGAGAGGATCAGGGACATACAAGGTAGGGTGAGGCTGCAAGAGAGCACCCTGGCTGAAATGACATCTGAGTTGAGAGGCAAAGGGCCAATACAGAGAGTCTTAAGTGGCATTGCTACCTGTTGCAGGTGCAAGTGGAGTAGAGTACAAACTCAATGGAAGCAACCAGGAGCCTACATTAAGGGGAGAGTGATTCAGAAAGAGCTGGGGGCCATAGGGAGGACGGAAAGTGAAGACTCTCTTCAGCCTAGCAGGGAGATTTGCACTGTACCCTAAGGCAGTAGGAAGCATCTTGGTGTTTTGCAGCAGAGTGTTTCACTACGAACTATAGTGTGGGGGGCATCTGCTTATGAAGAGTGGATTCAAGGGGATATTGTAAGGGAAGCCCATGTAAGAAGTTATTGGCTTTGTTTAACACTATGGTGGTTTCTACTAGGGTGAAAGCAGGATGGAGAGAAATTGGTGAATTGGAGAGGTATTAAGATAGAATAACAGTATGGTGTCTGGATGTGAGAGGAAAAAAGCATCATAAGGTCTCTTGAATGTCACTGCTAGCGGTGCAGAAGAGAGTTTTTTTTTTTTTTTAAGCAAATGGCAGCAATAGCTGATGTAATGGTTGGTTCTAGGCACAGCTGTTAAGTTCTTTGTGTACATAAACTCATGGTATCTGCATAACAACTCCACTATAGGAAGGACCCCACACTGTGTTCTGAAACAGTTCCAGAGAAGACATGGTTCATTCCAGGTACAGCTAGATCCTGTTCAAAAGCAGGTAGTTCTGCTAGAGTGACCATTTTCCATTCATCAGCTACTGCTTTCAGGCTCTCCTCACCAAGGCCCTAATAGAAGTTGCCACCCCCCTCTACCTTCCTGAGTTTTCTAGCCAGTGAGCTCCAAATAGAAGAAAAACTCATTTCAAGGCAGGGAAATGGCTCTCATAAAGAGTGGGCCATGCATAGTGTGGTGGTGGGGAGAGGGAGGGATGGCTAAGTGATGGAGAATATGATGAGGCATGAGCTCACACAGAAGCAGGCATTGTTCCTCAGTAAGAAAAGTAGAGAAGGAAAGCCTACTTCAATGACAGGTGAGCCTGTCACCCATCACAAGTGCAGCCTCATGTCCCAGGTTAGGAATGCTGGTCCCATACAAGCAGGAGGGGCTGGCTTAGTGTGTGTGTGTGTGTGTGTGTGTGTGTGTGTGCAGGAGAGGGGCTGGCTTAGTGTGTGTGTGTGTGACAAAGGAATCTCTCACTCCTGCGCCCCCTTCTCCCCCTCCCCCCCAAGCCACCACTTCCTATTTTGCAAAGTGGAGAACTGCAAATAACAACAAAGAAGTAACAATCTCAGGTAGGTGTTTGAACTGTGGCCTTATGCTTGCCAGGCAGGCACTCTGCTACTGGAATCATGCCCCTGCCCCCAGCCCTTTATGCTTTTATTTTCTTGATAGGGTCTCATTTTCTGCCCAGACTAGCCTGAAACACGATCCTCT